CCCCAAGGATCCAATTTCCAAGTATGGAAAAATTCTTTTACATAGCAAGAACACGTATGTGCTCCAGATGTGAGTTTGATCAATTTTGGTTTTGGTGTAACACTATAACCCGCAACTGAAATCCTTTACTCTTGTCACTGTGCAAAACAAGTATTGCATGTTGCATTCTTGCTCTTTTATCTCCAGGATTACTGCTACTGTGGTGTATACTTTATGAATGATGCCTTTGAGTTGGGGGAGTTGTATCTGGGGATTGCGTGGGCTGCATTTGGCCACAGTTTCCATGCTAAGTAGAGCGGATGCAGCTGTCATGACTGGTGGTTGGGTATCACTTACCTTTGTAACACTGCCTTTTTATACTGGTTCCAACTTAGTATCTTAGCAGGGTTCCCACTGCACTAGAGCCTCTATAGCTCCAGCTGTGACTGACGCTTCCTTCTTTTGACGTTCCAGCTCTAGAAAACAGCTGCATTTTAATTATGTATTTGGGTCTTCTGGTCATCTAAGGTTCTTGAATATGTTGCTGTAGCTTCTCAGTACTTGCTCATATGTGTCTTGTTCTAGTAATGCACTTTAATCAGCATGTCCTGCTTGCCTGACATTCAATGCAAAGATTGTGGTTTGACGCTACAGCAATATTTCTCTTGCTCATGTTTCAGTGTAAGCTTGTGCATTAATCAATGCTTTGTTGTGTTCTTTAAATGAATTAATGGCTTTGCTGTAATATTTAACCTATTTAACACAAGCTAAAGTTAAATTTAAGGTGACAGTTAAATATATATGGCTGACATATATATGGTTTTTAATTATTTTAACTGGCAAAATAATATACACAAAATTTTGTGATTGGATACCATTTAATTATTGAAGTTCCAACCAAGATATAATAATTTATTTGATTCCAAATTACTATTAATAAGAAAAGACAAATTTAAGTTTATTTACCCCATATCAGTCACCTGAAGTAAAATAAAATTCACAATAATGCACCTCGATTGAATTTTCAAGTTTTAACACTTTCAACATATCTATGTGGTTATTTTATTAAGGTTAAAATCATGTGCACTTAATTAACTAATTATCAGCAAGTGTGACCACGTCTATAATAGTGGATGTTTTGGCAGTTTGCTGGTCTGGAGCACTCAGGTGAGTGTTAACACTATGCCATGCGATTCTGGGAGTGGACATTTTTAAGATTAGGCCATACAATGCCCGGGAAAGAAAACCTCTAAGCCTCAGTTAGCATGTTGAAGTTTATAATAGAAAAAAAAACTGAATAAGTAGGGCTTGCCTGGAAGGCTTACTAAGAGAAAACATTTTTTCCTCTAAAAAGAGTATGACAGATTCGGTTTAGCTTTGCAAAGCAGCATCTGAAGAAACCACAAGTATGCTGGAACAATGTCCTTTGGACAGACAAGATCAACGTGGAGATGATTAGCCATAATGCACAGAGTCACAGATGTCAAGCAACTCATGAAGTTTACATTACTTGCTGGAGGAGGGGTGATGAATCAGGCTTGCTATGCAGCTTGCAGTCATTGAGCAGAACATGCCGTAGTATTTTAGAGTCAAATGTGAGACCAACTTGAAACTAAAGCTTGGCTGAAACTGGGCCGTGCAACAGGATAATGATTCCAAGCACAACAACAAATCCAAAACAGAATGGCTGACAATGAAAAATAAAAATCAAGACGCTGCAATGGCCCAGACCTCAAACAGACTGAAATGCTGCAGTGGAGCCTTAACAGAGCTATGCATAAATAAATTGTTGTAGGGAAGACTTGGCTAAAGTTTCTCAGAATCAGAATATTTTATTAGTCATTGGGGAAGACTGGGCTAAAATTCTTCCACAATGACATTAGAAACCAATAAA